GTTACGGGTTTTCTAGTTTTTCCAAAAGATTAGGTAGCGACTTTGAGATTGGGTGATGTAGTCCATTTTCGAGCAAAGATTTTCTAAATAAAATGGATTTTCTATACAAATTGTCGAATCTGGACTCTCATTTATGTTTCACATTGTACTTGTGGAACAAGATTAGGAGATCGAGAGTCCGAACTGTTAGGCACGCTCGGTGACCCCAAAAGGCATCCCACAGGGTGTAACAGCACAAAATAAGAAATTAATAGCTTTACTATTCCAGCTACTATTTTCGCAATCAGCTGCGTCCCATTTGTTAATTAGTTTAGGGAACGTTACTCCATCAATGGTAATCGTCGGTTTGGTCTACCTAGACGTGACAAATTGCCAAACTTTTTCATCAATAACTTTTAAACATGCTCTCATCTGAGCTTTCCAAAATGAATAATTGGATCCATCAAGTAGGAATGGTCGCACTGTAGAATTTCAATCACAAATTGAATCCATTATCACGAAACAAACAAGATCTCACTCCTTATAGTTTTGAAAAACAAAGATTGAGAGCGATGTACTCCGATACCAACTGAAAAAATTAAAAACCTCCAAGATATTAATTTGTGATTATGACTCAATTTTAAACAATGAATAGTAATCCCAATCAAACAATCAACACAAATCGATAGAACGATTTAACATGAAAGAAATCATAATTGGAGCACCTCAAATTGTGATTAAAACAATGGGCCAAAGTCACAAAACAATCCACTGAGAAGACATATGAATTACACAAGAACTCTCAATTACCTAGCGAATCCAAGCCCAAATTGAACCAAACCCCATATGTCTCTTCCACTACTGCCTTCACCTCGAAATTGCTTTACTCAACATTGAATCTACAATACTGATTTCAAATATACGATGATGAGCCATTTCGAAATCCACCAAAACTTTAGGCCCAAGTTTATCGGAATCCACCGATGAACACCTTTTTCTTTTGTGAATGAAAGAATAAAATCAACCCTTGATGTTTGTTAATATGTAGTTCATTGATCAATCGATCACCTTCTATACATCAATGAAACTCATATAAACCACCCTCCAATATAGAACACTTGTATTTTACTTCTCTCTGAGAATCTGGATGGGTTCAACCCTAAAAACAGTGAATGACACACTTTATATTAAACAGAGCCACGAAGACCACTTGAGCACACACTTTGCCGCTCGAGTAATGTGAGTAAAGATGATGCTCACATATAGGCCAACTGCTCAATCCCAACATCCACCACTCAAGCGATGAAACATCTTTCCCAGAAGTTCAGAATACAAGCAAAGATACTAGATGAACCAGTTCACCGCTTGAGTACACAAAAGACCGCTCGAGCGGTCAAACAACTGCCCCTCGACCCCGCCTGGGCGCTGCCCCCTAGACCCCTACGAGCTGACTGGGCAGCTCAATCCCCATACTTAGTCAGCGAAGTGGTAAATAAGGAATGCTCAAAGTTAAGATTTGGAATGTCAGTACAAACTCCTTTATCCAAGCACAACTCGAGTTGGATTCATATCTAAACTCTCATAACTCACAAATACAATAGAGTAAATAAAAATACAACTGAATGGAGTTTTGACTGACGAGATTGCCAATTACAAAAACCTAATAACTTATTTCTCTATTACACATCAATCAATTACTTTTTCTCTCTCTTGTCTCCTTCTCTCATATCTTACACATCAATCAATCACTTTTTCTCTCACACCTATCTATTCAACTACAAAAAATAAATAAATAAATAAATTTAAATCATTCCAAATTCCAAAACTCTTTTCAGAAAATTATTTTTTAAAATTGTTTCACAAAATTATTTTTTTAATTATTTCAAACCAAACATGGCCATAATTTGCTGTGATATTTATATAGTTCCTCCTTCATCTTCTTAGTAGGTATCGTAAAACTTGTCTCTAATTAGCAATTTCCTATAAAATGTTGTCACTATCTTTAGTAATGCAAACGAATGAAATTAAGTAAGTGTTTGGATTGATTTTTTTTGGTTGATTTTTTATCATCTTTAGTAACTTTTTTTTATATAAAAAAAATTCAAAAAAAAGTTATACTCGATTAAACGGACCAAAAATGTAAAAAAAAATTAAAATTAAAAAAAAATTCAATAAAGACCAAAAAAAAATCAAAAATTTCAAAAATATATATATATAACTTTTTAATTAGATGCCAAACCAACCCTTAATTGTCAAAAGATATTAACCTCATATAGGTAGCCTAATACTATCCCTATTTTATTTTATGTGATCATTTTTATAAAAAGCTCGATCGAGCGAAGAACTCAAACCCTCAGGTCTGCAACAAGACACACGCTCGAGCGAAGGAACTATTGCTCGAGCGAAGGACGAACTAGCTCGCTCGAGCGAAGAAAATCTCGCTCGAGCCAAGAATGCACAGCTACAGGTCCAAACCAGAAACAAACTCTCGCTCGAGCGAAAAACTACTCACTCGAGCGAAGATCCAAAATACTGGACAGCAACACTTGATTTCTAAACCCAACCAACCTGAAACAAACCTGCCCAACACATCCTATAATTCCAAATGAGAAATAAGGGACAACAACAACCGTTATACAATGACAGAATCTACGGAACCTAAGTCCGGATACAATAATCAAATGGGAGAAGACCGGGGTCGCTATAATAAGTTTTTTTTTCTTCATAATTTAGGAAAAAATCACAAATGCTTTAGAAGGGAGCAATTGTATTAATTCAGGTAGAACTATTTCTAATTTAATATAATTGTTTATTTTGTATATATTGAACAAATTCAACAATGTAGACTCTATTAGCAATTTTGAGAAATTCCTTTGAAATTGATGTTCATTTACTAGAATAATTTTTTGTCTAAATACTTTAGTAGCATAATGACCGGCATTCAAATGGATAAGTTTTTTTTTCTTCATAATTTAGGAAAAAATCACAAATGCTTTAGAAAGGAGCAATTGTAACACATTGATGTACTAAGTGGTCAATTAATGAATTATCTATCTAATATTTTGATTTTTAATAATAAGGCACATGAATAGCCCATCTAAAATAGTAATGGGATCTTTCAATTCAAAAGAAAAAAAGTTGTCCAAAAAATAATTAAAATTATGTAAGCTAAAGCTTGGTAGGAGGTTTAGAACTAACAAGTTGACCATAAGACAACATTTGAAAAATTCAGAACAATCAAGATTATGGTTAAAAAGACTTAAAACATTTCTCACTTATGTTGATACAAAAATGCATAATTCGAGAAATAGGATCTCATTACCGCAATGTTCCCACAAAATGATTCTGAAAATTTTCAAAGTTCCTTCGATTACAGGTTGTGTTATGCCCTTATATAGAAGTAAGAATCCATTGTTCTTATCATTGTAAAGATCAATAATGATTTATCATTTTAATACTTAAATCGAATAAATATGCTCCAAACTCTAAATTGTTTTTGTCCATTTATTCTTCTAGCACATACAATTGAGCATTAATCCTAATAAATCATTTCACTCTAAGTATACATTTCATTTTATTTTGTCATTCTTATATATTTTTTTCCCTTTAAAATTTAGATTTCTTTTATTGGGGTCATAGTCAAATAATCAACATTTCAAAGAGTCAGTTAACAAATTCATTGAAAAAAAATAATTCATGTACTGCCAATTATATTAAAATGAAATAACATTTACATGTAAAAGCGATGCCAATGCATTTAATTCTTGTAGATGCTTAGACCATCTCCAACGCTTCAGCAAACGTGATATCAAATTCAAAATTTGATGAAAAAGTCACTTTTTTGAGCTCCAACCGTTTCACCAAATCGATATCAAATCCAGAATTCAGCAAATCTTGTACCAAAATGAGAACAGGCGAAGCATTTTACCAAATCACTGTTCCTAACCGTTGGGAGAGACCAACCGGTTGCCCGGCCGGTTGACCAACCGGTTGACCGCCTAAAGGTTCAAACGGTTCGAAAAAAAGGTTCAAACAGTAAAAAAAAAAAAAAAAAAAAAAAAAATTTCGCTTAACTGGTCGACCAACCGGTTGTCCCTGGCACAAATTTGATGAAAGTGCAGCGTTGGAACGAGTGGTATCAAATTGGTAAAATGAGTCATTTTTTACTCAAATTTGATGAAAAATCTGAGTAACCGTTGAAGATGCTCTTACTTGTTTCAGATTAAGAGAATTAAAAACAAATAATTTATGATTTGTGCATAATAACATATTTTAAAATTTTTGATAAATGATTATTTTTTAGATTCTTGTTTACATAATGAAAGTTTATTTCTCATCTATACTATTTAATTATACTTTATTTTTTAGATTCTTGTTTACATCACACGTGCATTACTTAAAAAAAAAAAGTCAAAAAAAATAAATAAAATAGATATTGGTTTTCAATTTTTTCAAATATAAAATAAATATAAAAATAACTTATCAAATACTTACGCAACTGATAAATCTCACATAGAAATTATTAGATAATTTATTGAGGTCCTACTATTGACCGGCTCTACCAGGCCGTAGTAGGCACGAGAGAAGAGTATAAGGTGGCTGTTATGTAAAACTGACTATATAATATAATAATGCTTGTGACGTTATTCCACGTGGCAGGCGTCTGTAGTCTATTCGGTACCCCTATCTCTCTCTCATCTTTGAAGCTCACTTATCGCTCTGCAATGGCTGCCTCTGTTCGAATTGCTATCGTTGGAGACGTTGTGAGCTCTCTCTCTCTCTCTCTACTCTCTCTCTCTCTCTCTAACATTGTTTTTGGGTAATCAATATTAATTGGAGCCCATGTAAACCTAGTGTTCATATTTAGCTAAATTTTCTCTCTACTCTCTATTTTGTTGTGTGATTATTTCTCACTGAAGCATTTGCTAGATGAATTTGAGCTAAATCGTAGTTTCATTTTTTTTGGGGGGTGGGTTTGAATGATGTATTGACCAAGTTTCTCTCAAAAATAGTAAGTAAATTTTGTATATTTATTGCTGACCAGGGCTTAAATCTGAGAAAATTTTGAATTGTTTGGAATTAAAATCTTTTGTACATTATCTATCACTTTTGATTGCTAATATCATCATCATCTGACTCTTCCCCCGCCCCCAAAACCTTTTTTTTCTATTTTATTTATTTATTTTTATCTCCATATCAATTCTCTGCTACGCTCTGCTTTCAAAATTGCCACTGCAACTCGGCAACAGCTCATTTTGGATTGAGTGATATGGGAAGAAAATAAAAAGAAAAGAAAAGCATTTCTCTTAGTGCATATCACTTATTCTGTAAAGGGGAGAGAAATGGGGTGAAATGGGAAGAAACGGAGAACTCATTTCTCTTATAATGGACCTGAATAGTTGCAATTTCATTTCCCGAAACGTTCCTACCTCTCATTTTAATCAAATCCGAGCTTCGACCTAGTCTTTCATCTATGGAGAACTCCATCTTCATATTTTGCTGTTCTCTTTGTCTATATATTTGAGATCATGGCCGAGGGCAAGCAAGTTTTCGAAGATCCTGACTCCTATGGTGGTGAAGAAGTGAAGAGTGTCATTCAGAAGAAGCATAATAAAATCTCGATGGAAGCACTCATTTTGCTTTCTGATAATGAGGAGAGCCATAGATATGCCCTAGGTCCAACTTTCATGCATGAATATACAATGCGTCTTCAAAATTACTATCCTGGCATGGGCGGTAAATTTCTCTTTCATGATTTTGCTCTAGACTGGTCCAAGTGGCATCTCTCAAACCCTGTTGAAAACTGGCCAATCCCTAATGAGAACTGGACAAATTGGGTTGATAGGGTGGCCGATGCAAAAGGAGACTTATGGAAAGAGATAGGCATTTATGACGCTATAATGCTAAGCAAAATTAGAATTGAAATAGATAAACACCTATTCTTTGCTGCTCTCTTTTTCTGGTCGGTTCCCGCCAACTCATTTCATCTTAACTGCGGGATGATGAGTCCCACCATCTTGGACATAGCTGCACTAACAGGCCTTCGTCTACATGGGGAAGAGGTTAGTGCTGTTTTTTCCACTGCCAAATCCCCGTGCCCTATCAGTTATTCTAAGACAATGACTGCTTATGACAAGTTCATAGACCTCAGCATTGACCCAAATGGTGTGACTGAAGACGAACATGTCAGGTTCCTAGTTATGTGGTTGAATAAGTTCCTTTTCTGCAATGCTTCTCATAAAATCACTAAGGATTATACTGAGCTGGCCATAGCCCTGGCTGCTGGTAGAAAACTTGCCTTAGCTCCTCTGGTTTTGTTCCATCTTTATAGGGTTCTAGCGGAGTTTCTGAACCGAAAATTCTTGAACACCGATGGGCCCTTTTGGCTGCTCCATCTCTGGCTGCAGGCCTACTTTCCAGAGATTGGCCCAATCATAGTTCCATGGAATGATGCTCCTACTTATGGCTTTATATATGCACTATCAACTCCACGGCCTAAGACTTTTGAAGAGTGTTTCACTTTCTTCTACTCCGAATGTGTCTCTAGGACCCCTATTCAATATACTCCATTCAGTTCTAGGACCAGGGGCCCTGATTGGTTCCTTGCCAGACCGGGGTTAGCTCCCCCTGAAGCTTGGGAAGAACATACTGAACTTTGGGCAAGTTACCTTATTGCTAGGGAATACACTTCAACTTGGTTGTTGATAATACATTTACCTAAGTGCGGAGTTGAGTACTATGCCCCAAATCAGCTAGCTCGGCAGTTCGGACTGACTCAATTTATCCCCATTCCACCATATCAATTGGTCAACAGGCTCCTTGTACGCAGAGAAAAGTTTACCACCATTGAAGAAGTCGAAGGAATCAGTGATCAATTCAAAACTCTGAAGAAGAAGTTCAGAATGGAGGCCTTTCTGGAAGCTCCTCAGTCTTCCTTGTATTTTGATTTATGGTGGACACCCTACATTACCAAACTCAAGGCTGAGAAGATTGAGGATGTTCTTAAGAGGATTTCTCCTATTTCCATCCCTCCAACTGCTTCTCTGAAATTGGGTGAGGGATTGATTACTTCTAATCCCAGACCTGCTCAAATTGCTGGAAAGAAGAAAAGGAGAAGCAAACCTCTACTGAAAGGTACTTCTGAGTTCTGACTATAACTCCATTATAAATATGAGAAGTTTTTCAAATTTATATGGCACCCAAATGACCACAATGGAAGTCAAGCTGGCCAAAAGTGGGTCCAATATTAACTCTTCAGATCACCGAGTTATACCTGTGTTCTCCATTTCTATTATTTCAAAAATCGGCCTAATTCCCTTTTCTATTGGCTGCAGATACCATCTCCACCAAGATCCTGAAAATTAAGTCTGTGGAGATCAATGATGATTCACATGACCTCCAGAAGGTTGTCCTTCCAAAGGAACTGCAGCCACAGAAGAAGAGTGTTAAGGTAAAGACCAAAAGAGACCCATCAGTCAAGGTGCTAACCTGGATTCCTTCATTCCAATCTACATATAGTGTTGCTATCGTAAGTTTCCCTGCCATCAATGTATAGAATCTAGTGCTAACTGGTATCTTTGTGTGAAGGATTCATTAGAGTTCAATCCTTCTGAAGAAGAAGGAAAGGAGAAGAAAAAAGGGAAGGATAAGAAAGAGAGGAAGAGAAAAGAAGAAAATAATAGCAATAAGGTAGAAGAGAGAGATAGATTAAAGAAGACAAAGAAAGATGCTAGTCTGAAAAAGATGCTAGTCTGAACGAATCAGCCAAAGAGAAGATCCTAGAAGTCTAGAAGGTTAACCTTGGGCATTCTTTACATGATGAGACCCTTTTGATTTTGGTGAAACAGGAAAATTCATCAACTAAGGATGATGAAACAACTACTACCCTCCATGCCAAGACTTCGGCAATTGGAGCTGAAACCACAGAACCAGTGGAACAAACCAATTACTCAGTCATGGTGTTTTCCTCCCTTCTCTCCAACAAGGTATTTATCTAATTAATTCCCATTTCGGCTGAAAATGATGAACATACTCTTGATTTCAACTGCATTATTTTTAGGTCCCATGTCCTATTAGCAAAGATGCTATCGAGAGTTCCAGTCCTGAGATTTCAAAAGAGCAAGTAAAAGAATCTGCTGAGCTGGAGGTTAAGGTTAATCCTGAAAGGTCAGGAGCTTCCACTGTCCAGCCTGAGGCTCTTGCTTGCACCATTTCAGTCTCTCAACCAAGTTCTAAAGCCATTGAAAAAGCAAATGAGATCTCTAAGAATATTCTCCTAACTCCATTCAAGGATTTAGTACACCCTGACCGATGTATTGAGCTAGAATTGGTCCTTTCTACACTGCTTTGGGCCTCTGGTTTTAATCCAGAGCAATACGAGGCCTTGAGAAGGTTCAAGGAAGAATTCCCAGTCCTTACAGTTGACTACGAAGTCTCCAAGGCCACTCAAGAGAACAGTGAGGGCAAGCTCAATGCCATTGAAATTTTATCGACTGAGCTGGTGGAGGGATTGGTTAACTATAAGAAGATGAGGACCAGTAAGCAGAATTTAAAGGAGGAGCAAGATACCGAGGCTGAGATTCTTCAGCTGAAGATAAGGTTGGCTAAAGTGGTCAAAGAGGAGGAGGAACTGGAAAAGAAGATGCAGGAGCTAACTGAGATCACCTGTGCCAAAAATATTCAACATGAAAAAGCCAAGGTTGAGGTCACTGCTCTAATGGTCTGGAAAAGGAGAGCGGAATGGTTTCTAGCTTGAGCTGAAAAAACATGGGCCGAATTCAAGGCCATGTTTTCTTGACAATAGCCCACCTTGTATTTGCAGATATTATTTGCAGCTATATTTTGAATTGTCTTTCATCAATTTTACTAACCATGTCCAGCCTTCAATTTCATTATCCGTCTCTGTAGTATGAGCTAATGAGGTGACCATGCCACACTTCATCATTTGCCCCCTCTTTAACGATTTTTTTGGGAGAAAAATTACTGTTACACAACTTCAAGGTTGAGTCTACACCAATTGGGGTGTTGGCTTTATAAAAGTATAGAAGATCAAATTTAACCTTTTGTATACCTGGCATAAAGTTCCTGAGAGTTCTTAGGCGGTGTTCTTCAATGGACCATGTGGCAGCTCCCAACCATGAGTGTTTAGGGTGCAAACACTTTTGGAATTTGTTTGCACTAGCTCTTATCTTCAAGGATGTCTTTCACTAAGCTGAACTTCTGTGTGTGCGCGCACACAGATACACTTGCAAATATAAGTATGTATGTATTCTATTTAGAAATTTTCGCACTGAATATTTTTATTGGCATAAGTCCAAGCTTTTGGGCCCCCTGTATGTATTTGTTTTGAATTACTTGTTGAAAAAGCTTTATGGACAAAATATATGGACTTCTAACTTTATTTTTATTTTTTATTTTTGTATTTTGAAGCATGATGATTGGAATCTACAAGAAGATACAAAGGCTCTTCAATTATTGCAGGTATTAATTTCTCTTCCTCTTGTTTACAATTGTATTGTTTGCTGATTGCAAGTTTCTTAAATTAATTATGAAAGAAATTGAGGTTTCTTAAATTTGAAGCAGGAACGCTTAATAATAAACTGACTTTCAAGAATAGGTCTGCATATATCAGTGTGTCCAATGTCCATCATCTTTTCACTTGATTAGTGGAATGAATTATTGCACATAATCCATTCATTAAACCTTTTTTTTAGATGTCTATGTTCTTGGTTATTTCCAATGTATTGTACCATGACTTTAAGTACCCTAGTCGAGTAGAAAGCTTGTGACTACATAAGTAAAAGGTTGGGGCAAGCCCATGTTTCTGGCTTAACGATTTTGAGGTGTGAACATTTGCATGATGAAGCCATGTTTTGGCATTGAAGAAAACGTGTTTCTTGCACTTATGGGAGGGAAATTTAGAACAGGTCCCACTTCTTAATTAAAATTATTTGCCCAATAGCTTCTATTTGAAGAAGTAGATAGCATAGTATTGTGTTTGCACCCATTTTTGCTAAATTTCCTATGTCACCTGTTGTGCTCATTCATTGGAGATCATTCTGCTGTTGTGGAAGGAAGTCATGCATCAGTGCACCTCCAAAAACACAAAGGGGAAGGGAATAAAAAGGGAAAACTGAAATGCTATGAAGCATAGATACGGACATGGACACGGATACGAATACGAATACGGACATAGACAAGGAACGCGGTGATTCAAAAAAATTGAGACACGGATATGGTAGGGGACATGGCAAATTTTTAAAAATTTATTTTTATATATATTTGCTATGTAGATTAATATTATGTTACAAAACAATCAAAATTAATAAAAGCTAGAATTAATTCAATATATATATCACTATATTTAAATAAATTAATAGATTATCTATGTTTGGACACGCGTGTCCCCGAAGTGTCCCCAGAGTATTCCCACCAAAAAAAGAAAATAAAATTAAAGGGACATAGCCATGTCCCCAATGTGTCCCCGTGTCCATGCCATGTATCCAGCATGCCCCCTGCAAAAAAAATAAAATAATAAAATTAAAGCATACGTGTCCCCGGCGTGTTCCCCTGTCTGACACCGCTGCGGCGCCTATTTTGAAGTTTCCATGCTTCAGAGCTGAAATGTCGCAAGGCAGTCTGATATATTTTTAGGGATTTTGAAACTAACTATAGAGCTTGGAAACCATTCTTTTCTCAACATGGGTCATCAGGGTGACTGTACATGTTTAGCCCTATTGGTTGAGGAGAAGAATAGATGCCACAACCATTAGATGGTGTGGATTTTTTTGGGAGAAAAATTACTGTTACACAACTTCAAGGTTGAGTCTACACCAATTGGGGTGTTGGCTTTATAAAAGTATAGAAGATCAAATTTAACCTTTTGCATACTTGGCATAAAGTTCCTGAGAGTTCTTAGGCGGTGTTCTTCAATGGACCATGTGGCAGCTCCCAACCATGAGTGTTTAGGGTGCAAACACTTTTGGAATTTGTTTGCACTAGCTCTTATCTTCAAGGATGTCTTTCACTAAGCTGAACTTCTGTGTGTGCGCGCACACAGATACACTTGCAAATATAAGTATGTATGTATTCTATTTAGAAATTTTCGCACTGAATATTTTTATTGGCATAAGTCCAAGCTTTTGGGCCCCCTGTATGTATTTGTTTTGAATTACATGTTGAAAAAGTTTTATGGACAAAATATATGGACTTCTAACTTTATTTTTATTTTTATTTTTTATTTTTGTATTTTGAAGCATGATGATTGGAATCTACAAGAAGATACAAAGGCTCTTCAATTATTGCAGGTATTAATTTCTCTTCCTCTTGTTTACAATTGTATTGTTTGCTGATTGCAAGTTTCTTAAATTAATTATGAAAGAAATTGAGGTTTCTTAAATTTGAAGCAGGAACGCTTAATAATAAACTGACTTTCAAGAATAGGTCTGCATATATCAGTGTGTCCAATGTCCATCATCTTTTCACTTGATTAGTGGAATGAATTATTGCACATAATCCATTCATTAAACCTTTTTTTTAGATGTCTATGTTCTTGGTTATTTCCAATGTATTGTACCATGACTTTAAGTACCCTAGTCGAGTAGAAAGCTTGTGACTACATAAGTAAAAGGTTGGGGCAAGCCCATGTTTCTGGCTTAACGATTTTGAGGTGTGAACATTTGCATGATGAAGCCATCTTTTGGCATTGAAGAAAACGTGTTTCTTGCACTTATGGGAGGGAAATTTAGAACAGGTCCCACTTCTTACTTAATTAAAATTGTTTGCCCAGTAGCTTCTGTTTGAAGAAGTAGATAGCATAGTATTGTGTTTGCACCCATTTTTGCTAAATTTCCTGTGGATAGGGGTGATGGGCCAGTGGATGACACATTGCAGTAAAGTCAGAGTTGGAGTCCTTCATTGGTAAAAGGATTGCGTGGCATAAAGAAGGTAGTTACGTGCATAAGATGCTGAAGGCGGTCATGGGGCAGTTGCAAGCAGTTACTGGTTTAGTGGCCTAGTTTATAGGAGGTTCCAATTATTGGAGAATTTTTTTTTTTATTTTTTGTTTTATTTTTTTCTGTCGATGTAGTGCCCAAAATCGTGAGGGACACATGGCAGCATGGGGGAAAGTTTATTCAAATGAGGAATGTAAAGATGCATTGAATTTTGAAGGCTTAGAGGGGCTAAGGCAGTTTTCAGCAGTTAGAGAAGAGTGGCTTGTGGATTCTGAGTGGAGTCATGGGCCAGAGAAAGAAGGGAAAGTATAAGAGATGAAAAGTTTGCAGAGATGGGGATGATCAGCAACAACAACAAAACACTTAGCTTTTAGCATAGTTATATCTTAGGAGTAGTTGCTTGTATCTAGGAGTAGTCTCAAGCTAAGTCTTCTAGTTTGTAACCTTGTGAACCTTGATAGTTTCATTTTGAGATTGTCTTTGTTTACTTTGTAATTGTCGATTATTCCAGAGAAGTCCTTTATGAAGCACGGATACTCGAAAAAAGGTGCCGTACGAGTATCAGATATGTATCGGATACGGATACTCGTCCAATACGGCGGGATACGTATCGGATACAGCAAATAAGTATCCGATTTATTTTTTTATATTTTTTTTTAATTTCAGATACGGAAGGGATACGCAAGGGATACATCAAATAAGTATCCAATTTAGTTTTTTTCCAATTTTTCCTTATTGTTTATATTTCATATTTTAATATGCCAAATAAGTATCTTTTTTTTTTTCCAATTTTTTTCTTGTTTTATATTTATATTTATATTTTTTCAAAGGTCAATGCTCTCTCCTTCTTTCTCCCTCTCTTTCTATGTCTCTTCATATTCTATGGGGCGTGTATTGTCATTATTTATTCCCTTGTGATAGACCAATTTCTATTTTGTTAGCTTTGCTACAAGGGTTGCTCACTCATGTGTTAAAAAAATCACAATGTTGTTATTTGTTAATTTCTTTCTATTGCTCTTTTATTTTATTTTTTAATTTTGGATATTAGGACTTAATGCTATTGTTATCATTGCTTAATTTTGTTAGCTTATTGTTCTTTAAATTTCTTTGAATATTCGATCGAATCCTTATTGTTTGTTGTTAATTCTTTGTTAGTATGTCTGGTTATTAATTGATTGCTCTTTGATGAATATAAAATTCTCTTTTTGATATTAAGGAATTTAGTACTAAATATTTTGTGAATGTACTCTTACATTATGTTTTATTTTATACATACTAGGATACTACATTACTAAAAATTATAAAAGAACATTATTTTACAAATGTATCATCGCCGTACCCGTATCTTACTTTTTTAAGTTTTGTCGTATGTCGTATTTCCGTGTTTGTATCGTATCGTACATGTATCCCGTATCCATATCCGTGCTTCCTTTTTATCTAGGAGTAGTCTCAAGTTAAGTCTTCTAGTTTGTAACCTTGTGAACCTTGATAGTTTCATTTGAGATTGTCTTTGTTTTCTTTGTAACTGTTGATTGTTCCAGAGAAGTCCTTGTACTTTCAAGGCATTGAATCAATCACACAGTTGCTTGATCCTTTTGGTTGGTTGTTTGTTTAAATTGTTGTTAAGTCTCTGTCGATTATAGCCTTAACATAATTTTTACTAACACATTGCATCAGGGAAGAGAAACAGATCTAACCAGAATATCAATATGTGAGGAGAGAAGATAGTCCTGCTCTTATATATAGGAATCATGAATCATTGTAATAGATATCAAGCTTCTTGGACATCCCTCTCTCTCTCTCTCCATGGACCCAACATCATCATCATGCAAAAAAAAAAAAAAGGAAAAAAATTTGGTTTCTGCACTTACTGAATTGGTTTATATAATATTCCTTGATTGTGTATGATTCTGCAATC